TGATGGCACTACAGAGGGTCCATGTCCATTTGTAGTGCATGGGCTTATTGGTGAACAGCTCACAAATATGAGCACAGATGCATTACGGGCCTATGCACTGCAGCATTTTAAATCACAGAAAAAGGCAGCTCTTGGTATTGGGCAATCAGAACAGCCAGAGTCCCTATTCTCAAACCCACAGCTGTACACACAGATGTTTCCTTGGCTATTTCCATATGGTCTTGGGGGTCCAGGAAACACAAGAGGGTTCAAGAACATATCAGAGCCTGAGAGAAAAAGACAACTGTTGATGTACCATGACAAGTGGTTCCAGACTGAAGCCTACTTTCCACTGGTTGCATTCAATCATTAACAGATCAAAAGCAGTGCAACTGGTGGATTTCTGCTTGCAGAGCAGCAGAAGTTTGCAGATGTAGCCAATAGGATCTTGTCTATAGATGAGAATGTCCTGGATGATTTGACTCAGAAACTCAAAGAACGTGGACACTACAAGCCAGAAACACAGGCAGAGAAGGACTGCTATCAGCTCATACAAGATGTTGATCATGTTGCATATAAAGTCCCTGGATCTCTGACAAGCAGGAAACACATGCGTAATGAAATATGGGCCCTCACTTCCTACCTCGGAGCTCCATCATGGTTCATAACATTTGCACCTGCAGATGTGAAGCATCCATTGTGCCTGTACTTTGCAGACACAAATGGGACATACAAACCTGACATCCTTGATAATGATGCACGCACAAGGTTGATTGCAGCTAACCCAGTCGCAGGAGCTATATTTTTCAATGTAGTTGTTGAGCTATTCATAAAGCATGTTCTAGGTGTTGGCTCTAATCATCCTGGCTTGTATGGAGACACAGCTGGATACTACGGAACAGTTGAGCAGCAGGGACGGATGACTCTGCACCTGCACCTCATGCTATGGATCACAAATGCATTGACTCCACAGGAAATACGTGAGCGTATCATGGACCCCACATCTGACTTTCAACAGAAAATGGTTCAGTATCTAGAAAGTGTCCACCAAGCAGAGTTCATGGGTGCAAACATGGCCGATGTGTATGACCAGTTGCTCAGTGATCAGCAGCAGGATAAATACATTGATCCTACCCTGACACTGCCAGACCCACCGCCTAATCAGATGCATACATGTGACAACAAGCACTTTGATGATTGTCAAGGCTGTTCTACAGATCATGGTTGGTGGGCCAAGTTCTACAAGACTGTGAATGACCTGGTATACAAGTCCAACCGTCATAGCTGCTCCACAGGCGAAAGTGGTTGCAAATATGACAAGCGGACAAATAAGATCATGAAAGTCTGTAAGCGGAGATTCCCCAGGACAACAAGGCCATGCACAGTTGTTGATCCAGACACAGGTGCACTGCTCATGAAGCAAGGGGAAGCAAGGCTCAACACTTTCACTCCATCCCTTACTTACCTCCTGAGATGCAACACAGATGTCACAAGCTTACTGTCTGGCACGGCAATCAAGGCAATCACTGCATATGTTACAGATTACATCACAAAGACTCCTTTGAAGACACATATGATGTTCTCAGCTGTGAAGACAGTGTTCAGCAGAAATCCTGATCTCAAAGCCGGTGAAGATGGCAACCGCAAGGTGTGTGCACGGAAGCTGATCACTAAAATTGTCAATGCTCTCACTGCCAGTGCAGAAACAGGTGCACCAATGGCTTGCATGTACCTCCTTAATCAGCCAGACCATTACACCAGCCACACATTCTGCCCCTTCTACTGGAGGAGCTACATGTATGAGGTCCTCAAGGCCTGGCCGACTGAGGAGCCAGTGTACACTCCAAATGAGAAACCAGCCAAAGTAGTCATAGGCAAGAGCCATGATAAGTTTGTAGGCATTACACAACAAATGGACTACATGTACAGGCCAACTAAATATGCCCAAGTGTGTCTGTACGACTGGATCAGACTGAGTGACAAACAAACCATGGGACGTGCCATGAAACGTGCTACTCAGAAGCTCAAGCCAGTACATGAGAAAATTGCTAAATTGGAGAACAATGAGGACAAGAGCAAACGAAATATAAAGCCATTGCCTAGTCGCAGAGGTGGTGGCCAGGATAAATGGAAGGAAGAGTCTGATGATGATGACCCATTGTTGCTCACAAAGGAGACAGCACAGAAGGCTAGAGAGGATGAGCAAATGGATGCTATCACAAATTACCATGAGCCCACACGCTTCCAGCCCACTCATCCTCAGTATGAAACACACATGGCTGTCATGCTACCAGATCATTGTGCTCGGGTGCCCAACTTTGTTGGAGGCACATTGCCACATCAAGACATGGGTAATAGAGAGGAATATTGCATGACCATGCTCATGCTCTTCAAGCCTTGGCATAAAGGCTTAGACCTCACGGATACTTCTCAGACATGGGATGATGCATTTGCTAGCCATGAATTCACAGAACGGCAGCAAGAGGTCATGAAGTTCTTCCACATAAAGTATGAGTGCAATGATAGTCGAGATGACTTTTCCAAGCACAGACAGGACAAAGGAGAACATGGAGGCCTGGGCTTTGAGGAAGAAGAAGAAGTTGACAATGATGATTACATTGATGTTGTGCAGAGCAGTGTAACAGGTGATGATGGGGCAATTGACTATGATCCAGAATGGGATGTTCTTGGGAGAAAGTCCCTGACCCGTATTGCACAGATGCAACAGGCAGAGAACATTGCTCATGCTAGTGTTAGGGCTCGTGGGCTCGGAACCCTAGATTCAGGGGCCGGGCTGCCTCGTGAACCTAATGGTTGGTGGTCGCGACGCGACCAGGGGGGAAAGGAGGATCTCGGGGTCGTGAGCAAGGTGAGGAGTACCTGCTAGGGTCGTTAGCAGGGCGACGAGCCTTGCTATTCGGGAGCGCGGAGAGGTCCTTGGTTGCCAGCGACGAGCTGGGCCAAGCAGGGAGTCCTAGACGGGCTGTTGGGCCAGGTCGAGGAGGGGTCCAAGGCGAAGGCGACGAGCCTAAGCCGAGGGGAGTTCCTAGGCGGGGCGACGAGCCTAGCCGAGGACAGGGGAACTAACTCGGACGGCGCGAAGAGTTCGCACTCGGACGAGGTGGTAGTTCAGGTAGAAGAGTAGATTACTTCCCAAAATGGAAGTCAGATCGCTAGGTACATTGAGATAAGATGAGATGTACACTATCAGTTCATAATCTAATCTAAGGGACAGATAATGGGTTATCTATCCGTAACAGAGCCCCCCATTATGAAGCGTATAGTGTGGGTATTAACAATGAGGTGATGGCTCAGAAGAAGTGGATGTGGACATAGAGTGGAAAGGAAAGGGACCATAGAAGAGGAAAAAAATTTTGGGCAGTAAAACTGCATCTAGAAGGCTCCGCCATGCAGAGGCTGAGCTGTGCCGCATGTATCGCATCCCGAGCGGTCATCCTCGCAGGCATCCCGGTTGCACTGTAGTCGCCATGCAGAGGATGCGCTGTCCTGCGCATACCACGTCCCAAGCTATCATCCTCGCAGAAGGCATGGATATGCCTGGGGCCAGGGTAGGCTAGGCTCGGTGTACCTCCCTATCCTCCCCTACCCCCTGCCCCCCAATCCCGAGTTGGAGCGATCCGGTGGTGAGGTTCGGCTCGAGATTCCGTAGAGCAGAGGAGATGGTAGCAGGTAAGGGTGGAATAGTAGCAGGGGTGGGTGGGCTGGGCTTTATTTTTCTCTATTGCTTAGGCATTCCTCGTCGTAGGCATCTGACACTCGTATTGCTTCTTCTACTTGCCACCGTGCATGCGCAAGTGCAGCTAGTGCAGCCGGTGACTTGTCGTAGACAACACATTCCCGGGCTTCCCTATGTGCACGATAGAGTTGGAAGAAATTGGGTAGCTTGTCGCATGCAGAGGCGGAACTCGATGGGGGAAGACTATGAGGAGCGCGGACATTCCACACGTCCTCATTGTCCGAAGCCGAGAGTGGAGGTGATGAGAGTGGAGGTGTTGTCAAAGGACATGGAGGCATAGTCGATAGATCATGTCGAGGCGAGGTCACATCGGACGAGGACTTAGACAAAGGCAAGGATGAGTGTACAATCAGGTCTGGAGGAGTCAACAGAACGGAGTTGATGTGTCCGAGGGACGCCGCCGTGTCAAGAGCGGGTGTGTGCACAGAACACGAGGGTGGAGCGCAGGGTTGAATGAATCGACCACTGCCTTTGGAACCCGAGGGCGGAGGCGTCGACGCAGGTGTACCAGCAGAGTAGTTACCCGGCGCTCGGAATTGCCTCGCAGCCTGAAACTCATCCTGCAGATCATCCTCGACAAGAGTCTTGGCGGCCGTCGAGTGACCCGGGGTCGAGATGGACGAAGCTGAGATGGACACGACGGAACATGAGAGTGGGGAGCAGGGTCGAAGAAGTCGACCACTGCTCTCGGAAGACGATGATTTCGAGAAGGGCGAGAAGGACGAGAGCGAGGTGTCGACACCCAATCCGCGGGAAGGAGTCAGCGCGGCTCGCGCCGACGAGTCGAAATCCTCACAATGATCGTGCGTCGACGTGGACGAGTCGAGTGAGGGTGCACGTACGCCGAACGAAGGCAGGTGCACGGACAGATCGAGCACGGGCGTAGGAGCAAGGCGGGAGGAAGTGTCCGTGCTCATAGTTGAACTCGACAAGGGCGGACTACGAGGCGCGCGGACGTTCCGCACGGCCTCATCGTCCAAAGCCGAAGGTGGGTGCGTGAAGGCGTCGGGCTGAGGCGCAGACGAGGACAGAATTGCGGAGCGAGTACTGAACGTGCGGACATTCCACTCGGTCCAATCTTCGTCCGAAGGATCGTCCGCGGGGGCGGTTCCGTGAGTCCTTGGGACGCCGAGGCGCAAAGGTGGCGACGGAGACGCTGGCGAAGACACATGCGCGGATGCATGTTTGCCGAGCGAAGGCGGGGGCGAGGAGCAACTACTGGGCATGCGGCGGTCTCGCACAGTCCGAAGTTCGTCTTGCAAGCCATCCGTACGAGAAGTTCCGAAGGCCGAGGGAAGACCGAGGAACGAGGTCGGCGACGGAGACACTAGCGAGGGTGTACTAGGGCTCGAGGGTGTGCAGCGTGAACACAGCGATGCGGTCGAGGACTCGCAAGAGACGAGTAGTAGCGCGGAGGGGATGCAGGGAGGCCGCGATGGCGCCGGTTCGAAAGCGTGTGGCGGACACAGAGACGGGACGGACGAGGACAGAGACGCGGAACGTCGACGAGGATGGATGGGTGGAGAGGGTTGACGGTTAGGAAGACTTACCGCGGTCGTCTCGACTCGCGTCTCCTGCCTGTCGATCTCCCAGCTTGGGGTCCTCACTCCTGGAGCTTCCCATCGCGATCCTTCGCGTCCGTTCGTCCTCGCAATTGACCCGGAGTCCTCGTTGGTGCCTGCGTGTGCCTCTGCTGCTTGGCTGGTTGGCTGCTCGACTTCGCTCGTCGAGCTGTTTGCTGTACCAGGCACGCGGCGACTCCACGCCGCCCAGTACTCACTCAACGGGATGTCCACGCCCGAGACCTTTGAGGTTGCTGAGTGACTCTGGTACGAGGAAGGTGGTGGGGTACCGGAACAGGCCGAGCGGTGTGAGGGCCGCGAAGCATGCGGGATAACGCGCGGCGGGGACGTGGACATGTCAGGAGCTGGCGCGAGCGTGGCACACAAGAGAGGAGAGCAGGGTCGAAGGGTTCGACCGCTGCACTCGGAAGTGGATGAGTCGAGGTCGTGTGTAGACGCAGGCACGTCGAGAGAGGATGGGGACACGTCGGGAGTGGGCAAGTGTATGGAACACGAAGGCAGAGAGCAGGGTCGAAGAGGTCGACCGCTGCCTTCCGAAGCTGAGCGAGTACCGGGCGGGGAAGTTAGTGTGTCGGTCGAGACACTTGTTTGAACCGCCGACGTAACCTCAGCATCACGCCCTACGTGCCCCTGGGGTCGCTCGACCTTGCTCGTTGGGCTGGCTATTGTACGGGGCGCGCGGAGAGTCCACGCGGCCCAGTACTCGCTCAGCGAGACGTCCAAGCACGGGTCCTTCGGGGCCGCCGAGTGACTGAATTGCGAGGAGGATGGCGGAGGCGTGTCGGACGAGGGCGCGCGGCACAAGGGCTGTGACGCGGGCGGAACATCACACAGCGGGGACGGAGACGTGTCGGGAGCATGCGGGTGCGTAGAACGTGTACGAGAAGGAGACGGTGTCGATTGTTCGACTGGAGTACTCGCGAGCTCTGTTACTCCTCGCTTTCCTTCCCGATTGTCATCCCTGCTCGACCGACTGGCCCCTGCCCGCTCCCTGGATGGTTGTACTTTGCTGCTCGTACTGGTAGGGCTTGGAGCCTCGTCCTCGAGCCTTGATGTATGAGTTGGCGCGACGGGCTTGACCTCGAGCGATGGAACGACGACCGTGGAGTTGCTACCAGGCGCGCGGAGAGTCCACGCGGCCCAGTATTCGCCAAGCGGGGACGTGGACGTGTCGGGAGCAGGCGCGAGTGTAGGACGCGAGTGTGGGGAAGACGAGGGCGGACGAGCGTGCCCCGAAGGCGCAAGCTCGTCGCGCGAGTATGACGGAGGAGGCGGCGGAAATGCAGGTGGGGACGCAGGCACGTCGGACGAGGACGGAGATCGAGTGTCCTCGATACCCCTGCCCCCTCTGTCTGCATCCGTACCTGCTGTGCTTGGTGGCCCCCCACTTGCGAGTCCGTGTTGGCTCGCCTTTGCGCTTGCTGGGGCTTCTCCGGACAGCGTGAGCCTCTGCGTCGACTCGCTGGACTCGGCGTCGCGCGGTGGGCGGGCGGGCTGTTGACCGGCTTCGCGCGTTGAGGCGACGAGGGTGGGGAGATTACCGGGCGCGCGGACGTTCCACACAGCCCGGTATTCCCCTTGCAGGTCATCGGCGCGATCGGTCAGGGTCGTCTCGTCTTGCGAGGCGGCCTTGCAGGTTGGCGACGTGTTGTCTACTTGAGCAACTGACGAGGCGTCCTCGGGCCTTAGCGCGCGCGTCGGAGCGACTTGCTCGGTTTCGTGCGTCGAGCTGGTAGCTGTACCAGGCGCTCGGAGAGTCCGCACGGCCTGGTACTCGCTCAGCGGGTCGTCCATGCCGAGGATCTCGAAAGTCGTCGAGTGGCTGAGGCGCGAGGATGGCGACGGAGAGGCGTGCGAGGCCGAGGGCGCGTCGAACGTGGGCGGACGTGAGGTGCGTGAGAGTTGCGGACGAGGCACAATCGAGGGCGAGAGCGCGTCGAGCGAGGACGGAGGAGAGGAAGGTGGAGGGCGAGGTACGGTAGTGCTCACCGGAGTCGACTCGACTCGTGTCTCTTCTCTCCGGACTGCCTGACCTCGCTCGCTCGTGCCAGGGTGCCCCCCACTCAAGCTTTCCTGTCGGCTTGCCGTAGTGACAGGCGAGGCCCCGTCCTCGAGTGTCTCTGCGCGAAACGACGCCACTGACTCGTCTTCGGCTGGTGACGACTTGGCTGCTGTGTTGACGGCTGCGCCCGAGGCTGCGAGGTCGTTACCGGACGCGCGGAGGTTCCACACGGTCCGGTATTCGCCCTGTAAGCCGTCCGCGCGAATAGATCCGGTCGAGGTCGTAGGCACGTCGGATGAGGGCAGGCGCGAGGTGCTCGGTAGTGGAGGCGGCGTGTGCGCGTCAAGCGACGGCGGAAGAGAGGAGGCGGCTGGGTGAGCGTGGCGCGAACGCGTAGGCTCATCGAGCGAGGGAGAGGTCACGGAGTGAAGGCGAAGAGGAGAGGGTGGAGAGGGCTGGTGAACCGGGGCACTCACCGGAGTTCCCTCGACTCCCATATCGTCTGCCTCTCTCTCTCTGCCTGCTCCATCGAGGCGGCTCGTCCTCTCACTGTCCGAGGGGTACGCCGGGTTCCTGGGCGTGCGCGTAGACGCGTCGGATCCGCCGTTGCACGGAAGGCGAGCGCTCGGTTGTTCGACCTCTGCCACAGAGACGGCGGGGTGGCTCCCGGGTGCGCGGACGTTCCACACTACCCGGTATCCCTCTTGCAGTCCGTCCGTGTGATTGGTACCGCTAGAAGTCGGGTAACCGGAGCGCGGAGATGTCGACGGGAGCGCGGACGAGC